CACACACACACACACACACACACACACGATAACTTCTCTACTCCAACATTGAATTGTTTGTAAGGTTCACATAAGCAATAAAGTTCGTATTATATATTTTCATCGGACAAAAACATCTAGTAAAATATTATATACGGTAAAACAAAGTACACGGTTTTTATGGTTACCGGATCTATGTTATATGATTTTTTTTTTTTGTCGACGGGTTTCGTCATTTAATGTCGTAGGATTGGTAGGTGTGTGTGTGTGTGTGTGTGTGTGTGTGTGTGTGTGTGTGTGTGTGTGTGTGTGTGTCGGTGGATGGTAGGCTGTACGAGAAAGGAGGAGGGGAAGGATTAGGGGGAAGATGAAGAGTAGGTGATGGAGTAACACGAAGAATAGGAGAAGAAGAGGAAGGAGGAGGAGGAGGAGGAATAATTGACGATCAGGATTATCCCAGATTCCCATTTAATAATGTAAGTGCAGGAAGATTACACACACACACACACACATACATACATACACAGGTCGAAGGTATTACTGTGTAAAGCAATTATACATGCTGTACTTATATGTGTATTTGTATGCATGGATGTATATGTATTTCCCTAAGACATAATAAAAAAGTAATGTGCCGTTGTTGATGATGATGAGATAAAATACAGAGGATGAGACTGAAAATATACATATTATTGTATATAAATGTATTAGTTACATATAAGACAAAGAAAACAAAAACATACTTGAGTAATAAAAGCCACAGTGTATATAATTTAAACCACACACACACACACACACACACACACACACACACACACACACAAATATCAACAACGGAACAAACAAACAAAAAATTCGTTGATTATCTCTACCAAAAAACAAATCTCTTCCATTTCTCAGTTTGAAGAAATGTAAAAACCTTCCTCGTTATGTTGCTAATATAATTTCCCAGGACGAAGTGTATATATATATATTGGTTTGGAGGGATGATTTTTATTTACGGCTCTGTGTGTAATATTTCTCTCTCTCTCTCTCTCTTTCTCTCTCTCTCTCTCTCTCTCTCTCTCTCTCTCTCTCTCTCTCTCTCTCTCTCTCTCTCTCTCATAAGATTCTATGTATCAATGCTATAAGAGGGCGAGGGAGAGGGAGAAATGAAATGAGAGAGGGGGTGGTAAGGGGGTGAGAAGGAGGAGAAAGAAGAGGGTGTGTGTGTGTGTGTGTGTGTGTGTGTGTGTGGATCATTTAAGTGTGTACTGACTCGTTGTCTCAGATTATTCCGTCTCTTAGACTAAATAAGACTTGTCAGAAATATAATATATGTTTATAGTCGAAGCGGCGTCCGAACCCGTCTCTCTGTCCACACACACACACACACTTCCACTAACACCACCATTCTCCACCATCCCATGTTGTATCTAACTATCCGTCTACCCACATGAGGATATCATCATTGTCAATCCGCCTATGAATTGTGTGTCTGTGGGGGAGGGGGTGGATGTGGGGTGTCGGTGGGAGTGATATTTTGGGAGGGGTTGGGTGGGGGGTGTTCGTACGCAGCCCGCCTTGTTTATAACATATTGGCGCCCGAGAACTACAATGGCGCAGAGACTAATATATAAGGCAGTGGATATTGTGTCGTGTGGCTGGGTCTCCCTCCTTCTCTCCCCCTTCCTTCTTTCCTCCTCCTGCCTCCTTTCCTCCTCCTCCTTCTTTTCCTCCTCCCTCCTCCTTCTCTTTCCTCCCTCTGTCCATACATCCCCAATCTCCTTCTCTTCCTCTCGCTCTCCCTCCTTCTATCCTCCTTTCTTACCTCCTCTCTATTCTCTCCTACACCTCCCTCCCTTGATACCAAGTCCTTGTGCCTGTCACAGGTGCCAAATCCCCGATGGTGCCACCCCCCACACCTCCCCCCAAATCCCCCACCTTCCCACCTTCATCCCACACCTCCTTGCCCACCCCTTCATCCCACACCTTCCCACCCCTTCATCCCCACACCTTCCCCACCCCTTCATCCCCACACCTCCCCACCCTTCATCCCACCTCCCCACCCCTTCATCCCCCCACCTCCCCACCTCTTCATCCCCACCTCCCCACCCTTCATCCCCACACCTCCCACATCCTTCATCCTCCCACCCCTCATCCTCCCCACCCCTCATCCTCCCACACCCCCTCATCCTCCCCACCCCCTCCCACATCCTTACACCCCCACACCCCTTCCCACACACCCACACTGAACCGCTCTAAGTTAGGATCAAGTTTTGAATGTCTTGTTAAATTGGGCAGACAAAGTTTGCTGATAACGTAAGATAGCAGTGGTAGGTGGTGGTCCCGGCCGCCCTCCACCCACCCAGCCACCCTCCTGCCACCCACCCCTTCCTCCCTCTACCCTCCCTCCACCCAGCTCTTCCTCTATTTAGTTGTCCCTTCACCCAACCTCCACCCAGCTCTCCATTCACGTAGCTGCCTCTCCACCCTCCCAACCTCTCTCCACCAGTCTCCCATTCACCCTCCACCTACTCTTCCACTCACCCTCCACCCCACTCTTCCTCACCTCCACCCACTCTCCCTCACCCCTCCCCCTCTTCCCTCTCCCTCTCCCCAGTCTCCCCTCACCCTCCACCCCTCTCCTCACCTCCACCCATCTTCCTCTCCCCCTCCACCCCACTCTCCCACTCACCCTCCACCCACTCTTCCACTCACCCTCCACCCACTCTTCCTCTCTCCCTCCACCCAGTCTCCCACTCACCCTCCACCCAACAGTCCTTCTACCCACTCAACACATACCTGACACATATGTATCACATAGAGAACACATACATGACACATACTGTATAAACCATATAAAGGACACACATATAACACATAGGTGACACATATAGAACACAGGGATGAAATTAAAGCACCTGAGATAATTATTTACTAACACAACCACCAATGTTTTGTATCTTAGTTAAATGTTGAATAAAACAGTAATATTTCATTGTGATGTTTTTTGTTTTTGTTCTTGTTTTTTTTTGTTTTAATGTTTTTTTTTATGTTAAGTGTGAACGATAATTGGACTGTAGAAAATTTGTTGTACATATTAAAAAAAGGAAATGTACACACACACACACACACACACACACACACACACACACACACACACACACACACAGCCAGCATATATCACCTGATGATTAAACACCCTAACACATACCTGGGAGTTAGGTTAGGTTAGGTTAGATTAATTTAGGTTAGGTTAGTTTAAGTTAGATCAGGTTAAACTAAGTTAGGTTGATAAGTTAAGTTAGGTTAATTTAGGTTAACTATAGAATATTTAATCATCAGGCGAAATAAACTGAGGGGGGGCTAATCTTCAGGTGATCTCATTAACCTAACTGAATATTAAGTGTGAGAAAATCGACACCTTATCCGCCCACACCTCTACACGACGACAGGTAAAAGTCTCTACGTAGGAAAGGAAAAAGTCTACATAGGAAGAAATGTCTCTACTTAGGAAAAAAAAGTCTCTACGTAGGAAAGGAAAGGTCTACAGAGGAAAGGAAAAAGTCTACGTAGGAAAAGAAAAGGTCTCTACGTAGAAAGGAAAAAAGTCTACGTAGAAAAGAAAAGTCTCTACGTAGGAAAGGAAAAAGATCTCTACGTAGGAAAGGAAAAAGGTGTCTACGTAGGAAAGGAAAACTCTCCAACATGTCAATTATAAGCTTGGAGGTTAAAATACTGCTGTGTATATATCATGGTGCCTTGTGAGGTGTGGAGCAGGTGCAAGGTGAGGGAAGGTGTTGTATGAGCTACCAGGAAACATTATTTAGGTGTGAGGGAGGTGGGGGGTGTGTTGTGGTGGGGGAGGAGTGAGGAGGAGTAGAGATGTGTTGGGTTGGTGGAGGGAAGTGAGGAGGTAAAAGATGTGTAAGGGAGGTGGGAGAAAAGTGGGAGGGTGGGTGAAGGGGTATGTGAGGAAGAGTAGGTAAGGATTCGTGTGTGTAGGGGAGGTAGGTAAGGATGTGCTGTGTGCATAGGCGTATAAAAGGAGATGACAATCAAGGATGTGCTGGTAGTGTGTGTTGTGTTATAACCCCACTGTATGATATATAATAACTATAACATAACTATAATTGACTTTTGCATTATATAAAATTAATATCTGCATTTATAAAGTAGTTACCCTTTCAGCTATCTCCGTTTTCTTTAGTTTGTTAATTTTAGTGAGTAAGTATTGTTTGATATATACTGTATACGTATTTATATCATCACTATAATTACCAGCTCCGTCATCACTATATCACCATTTATGCATGTCACCATCACCCATGTCTTCATCGTCATCATCACCATTACCATTTTCATCACCAACACCCCAGACACTATTTCCCCAGCGTTACACCAACACTACCACCATCACCAACACTACTTCTATCATCACCAACTAAATCACCACCATCTCCAGCACTACTCCCTCCCCACCAACATTCATCACCCCACCCCCAGCACTGCGCCATCACCGGTTTCATTGTTCTCTATTTTGAATCTCAATGGTTTGGTTATTCACTGTCCCGAATGGTTCTCGAGACAACTCCTCTTGCCTCACTGGTTCATTGTCTTCGAATTCCTTCTCTTGGCTTCAGGGGTTCATTGTATCGAGACTCGTACTGTTTCATTTTTCGGGGTTCAGTGTATTGAAACCTCTTCTTGATTGATCATTCTTTCAAGTCTTTTTTTCCTTGGGGTTCAGTGGTTCATGGTCTTGAAACCTCTTCTTGGATTCATCCTTTTTTTTTCTCGAAATTCATGTTTTGTGGTTTGTTGTTTCGAATTATCTCAACAACTTATTCTTTACATCACACTGCTGCATAATGTCCCCCCCCCTCTCTCTCTCTCTCTCTCTCTCTCCCCCCTCTCTCTCTCTCTCTCTCTCTCTCTCTCATTCAAGTTAAGTCTCGTTATTTCGAATCATTTCACCTCATTATTCACATCACATTGCTTTATAATAACCCTCCCTCTCTCTCTCTCTCTGATTTCAGGTTTCATTGTTTCGAAACTCCCACCGCTCACTGGTTCAATGCTTCGAACCCCGTGATTTACTAGCGTTGAGTGCAAGCGACACATAAACTGGTGAGTCGTGACTGTGTTTATATACAAAAAAGTGTTAATTATTGAGTCTGTTTTAGGAAGAGTTTCATTAGCACATGGTCCTAGTTAAGGCTACCTGTGACCCCGAGTTATGGGTGAGGGTTTACTCTTAGCGTGTCTGCCACCACTAGATTGTTGGTAGTGGTGGTGCAGGTGTAAGTGGTGGTGGTGGTGGTAGACAGGTATAAGTAGTGGTGGTGGTAGACAGGTGTAAGTGGTGGTGGTGGTGGTAGATAGGTGTAAGTGGTGGTGGTGGTGGTAGACAGGTATAAGTAGTGGTGGTGGTAGACAGGTGTAAGTGGTGGTGGTAGACAGGTATAAGTAGTGGTGGTGGTAGACGGAGTGTAGTGGTGGTGGTAGACAGGTGTAGTGGTAGTGGTGGTAGATAGGTGTATGTGGTGGTGGTAGACAGGTATAAGTAGTGGTGGTGGTAGACAGTATAAGTGGTAGTGGTGGTAGACAGGTATAAGTAGTGGTGGTGGTAGACAGGTATAAGTGGTAGTGGTGGTAGACAGGTATAAGTAGTGGTGGTGGTAGACAGGTATAAGTAGTGGTGGTGGTAGACAGGTATAAGTAGTGGTGGTGGTAGACAGGTATAAGTGGTGGTGGTAGACAGGTATAAGTGGTAGTGATGGTAGACAGGTATAAGTAGTGGTGGTGGTAGACAGGTATAAGTAGTGGTGGTGGTAGACAGGTATAAGTAGTGGTGGTGGTGGTAGACAGGTGTAAGTGGTGGTGGTGGTAGACAGGTGTAAGTGGTGGTGGTAGACAGATATTAGTAGTGGTGTGGACAGGTATAAGTAGTGGTGGTGGTGGTAGACAGGTGTAAGTAGTGGTGGTGGTGGTAGACAGGTATAAGTGGTGGTGGTAGATAAGTGTAAGTGGTGGTGGTGGTAGACAGGTGTAAGTAGTGGTGGTAGACAGGTGTAAGTGATGCTACACAATGGCGGTGCTGTGATTTTTATCCTCGGTGATCACTTATTATGACTGCATTCCTAATCAAGGTCATTGCTTATCAGGGAGAAGGGGAGAAAGATGGGGAGATGGTTAGATGGGAGAGGGAGCCTAAAAGGGGGGAAGGGGTTAGGTGGGGAAGGTGGATCTTACAATTACACCTCATGTCCACATACCTACACCCCACTCATATCCATCCACCACCCCACTCTATCCACATACCTACACCCACTCATATCCATACCTACCCTCCACCTTCACCCACTCATATCCACATACCCACTCACACTACACCCCCATCATTTATCGTAAACACACCCACACGAACAAAATATTTACATCGTAAGGAATATTCACACACACACACACACACACACACATTGTCTTTAATTCACTTTTCGTAGTCATGAACAAGGCTCTCGAGGTATATACTGAGCTTGGTTGTGTTCTCATGTGGCCTGGCGCATACTGAGTACATCTCGCCTCGTAAGCCACCACAGATTGTATACTGTAATTCTTGAAACGGTGAATTGTGTTGTGTTGTGGGAGGGGGTGTGAGGGAGGATAGGCAGGCGTGAGGGAGGGTAGGCGGGCGTGAGGGAGGATAGGAGGGCGTGAGGAAGGGTAGGAGGAAGGATCACCATTAAACAAACGGAAAGAAAAAAAATATCGGTGAATCTGATGATATAATTTAGTAGAATATTTCATGTGTGTCGATACTTTGTACAAAATATAGGATATGTGTATGTTAAAACTCACAATTTAACTGTTATCGTTCTTACGTCGTCCAGGTGTGTGTGTGTGTGTGTGTGTGTGTGTGTGTGTGTGTGTGTGTGTGTGTGTGGTATTTGTTACCAGACCTGAGGCAGAAAAAATGGTTCACCTGTTTACATAAATTTGATGGAAATTCTCGACAACATAAAATGAACAGGTGTTGTGGAGGTGTTGTGCAGATGTTGATGGACAGGTGTTGCGTAGGTTTTCGTTGGGCAGATGTGTTGGAGGAACCCTTTGATGTTTTGTAAGGGGGAGGGAGGGCAAAACGGAGGCAGGTAAGGCAAGGAGTGAGGGCAAAAGGATAGGAGGGCAAGATAGGAAAATAGGAGTGAGGCTTGGATGAATGGCGTGAGGGAGGGATGAAGGGCAAGAGGGAAAGCTGGAGGGCAAGAGGGATGGATGAAGGGCAAGAGGGAAAGCTGGAGGGCAAGAGGGATGGATGAAGGGCAGGGACGAGCTGTGTATGGCAGGGAATAATCTATCTCACACCTAGCTGCAGTTTTCAGTTGACCTGTAGCGCTGCAAGCCGGTTTTCCTCACGTGTGCACTCAGACGCCCTCACACACTCCACACACACACACACAGGTACACATATACAATCACAGGTTAGGTAGATACATATAACACTCACACAAATACACAGACACTGGTCACTAAACA